CAGCATAGTCCCTGCCTTCTAAACTGGGCTCCAGTTTGGTCTTGCACAGAGACCCAAAATCAGCCTTTCCTGATGTTTTCCACAGGGCATTCCTGATCCAAGAAGCCACAGCCAGGAGCCTGTGGAACATTTTAAACGGTGAGACCTGTGAACACCTCCATTCCCTCCCATCACACCGGTGATCCAGGAGGGATTATAAAGCCTGACAGCAGTTCCCCAACCCAAGAAGTTCAGGAAACACCACCTCAAATTGTTTAATTCTTCCAACTGGAGCAAGGCATCTCACTTCTTGTACCAGTGATTCCATCAGCAAAGGTGCACAAGCTGAAACAAAACTCCTTTGCGGTTCAAACAGTTCTTGGCAAACAGCTTCAGGCTGTGCCATCCAGCCCTTAGAGTGAGGGTTCACGGGGGCTGGAGGTGTCTGGGAATTGGGGATAGCAGGGAATTAGGGTTTGGCAGCCAATACATTTGAGTTCCCCCCAAAGCAGAGGTGTAAACAGCCATTTTATGTAACCTGTGGGTGCTTCAAACTCTGGTAATTACTACAGAAAGAGAAAACCAGAGACAAACAAGAAAAAAAATTCTCTCTTTCCCTGTAATTCCCTCCCAGTGAGCACTTCTACTGCAACAAACATCTGGACATTAAGTCTTTTTAAAAGCACCTTTTTAAAAGAAACTCTAAATCAGAAGAGTAATAAGGAAAAGGTATATTCACTGATTTGGTTAGACTTTAAGCAAGCTATGCTATTCCAGACTATTTTTGTTAATAAGGAAGAAAGGCAGTTATTTGGAACAAACCATTGCAACATCAGGAGCAGGAACGTAACTGGGACCTTGTCAGTGCAAAGAGAAAGTTGAAATGAAAATCAGTTTTCATTATCCTTTTAATTAGTGCCAACTGTACCTATAAGTGTGTTTTGATGTCAGAAGCTGCAATATAAACCATCTCAACCGTGAAGGGCAAATTATACGCAGAAGGACAAAACTTCACACATACTCTGCAAAAATCTTAGATTTCTGTTAAGCTCAGAAGTCAGGCTGTAAAACCAACTGCTCCAGGCCCTTTGGAGCACAGTGGAATATTTAAATAGGGAAGCTTCAGTTCTTTCCCTTTGCTCCTTTAGGTATAGCACTAACATAGACAGAAGCTGAAAGAGTTTACAACTGGTGTGCAGGTAGCACAGCCCTACATGTGCCTGTCCAAGAGTTCCCAATCTGGACCATGAAACTATTCCCTGGATGTTTCATCACCCTCTGAAGGACTCAGCAAAGCTGTGAGAGTCATAGCAAGGCAGCATAACAACAGTGCAGGGAAACACCACTCCCGGGAGTGTTCTGGTCCCCAAAGTAAAGGAGACAACATCAAAACACTGAGCAATAACAACACTTTCAATTAGCCAAGACGACTCCCTGTTAACTGCCTTCATACAAAAAGCATCAAACAAGAAATCCCCAAAAGAAAGAAAAAAAATCACTCTGAAATATCAGAGACACAGCAAAGTGAAGGTTATGTTCACTGCATTTATTGTCCAGGTTTAATTTTTAATCATACACCATCCCTCCTTCTCCAGCAGCAGCATCCAGACTCATCTCATCCCCACACAATTAGTTTCCAGCTCTTTACACCACTCAGGCCTCACAGCATGTGGTGCTTCTGTGGACTGAAGTCAACAGAATCGTTATTCCTGGAGCTCAGAGGTCAAGAGAAGCCCTGGGGAATATTTACAGACAGCAATAATTTACATAGTCCTACACAATTTCTGTCTGCTACAACTGTGAGTGTGAAGGGCAGAAGGGAGGGGGTTGACTCAGCTGCTTTACACTTGAAGCCTGAGCTGAAAAGTAGATCTGATCTTACCGAAATTGAGAGCAACCCCAGGGAATGCCCCAAACTTAAAGAGAAGGCAGCCTAAATGTATATCCCCTATTAACCAATGCTGCCACCTCTAAACAACAAGCTGTTGGCAGGTTTGCTATTTTACCTCCTCAGAGCACAGACTACAAAAACATTTTCAAGCTGGTCTTTAAACAAAAGGAAAGTTTTCAGGCCTGTCCCCAGCAGCACTCCCAGAAGCACAAGGCTCACCAGGAAAGGGAGACAACTCACCAACAGAGCTCACACTGCCTGAACCACAACGTGCTCAGCAAAGGGCAGTGACTGAACCACCCTGAGACATGTCACCCCTGTCCCTCCCTCGTTACACCCCGGCACAGAGCCCAGTCCCCAACTTTCTGACAGGATTTGCCACGACCTCCATTAAACCCCTTGACAAAGCCACGCGATATAAACACATAAAACCATGGGCAAGACCCTCAGTGCCATACAAATGTCTGGATGCTCTGTAACTTCATCCATCTCCTCATCCCTCTTTTATTTCTATGATTCATTACACCAGATTAGCACCCTAAAGCCTGCTCAGAGGTGACTGCATTGAGTGTTCTGAGAGGAGGACACAGCCTCTATTGCCTGTGTGAGGTTCCCCTGAAACACTGAAAATACAATCTCATGCCTCATTACACCCTTGTTCTCAGGGAAAAGTGCTGAGGAATCACTGAAAGTGGTTTATATACTTTTGAAAAAAAGTTATCACACAGGAGTCCCCGACAGCAAGGAAGTACAACGGGAACAGCACATTCCCAAGACAGCCTGAGACTCTCCGAGAGCTGGGGTTGGAAGGGACCTCTGGAGATCATCCAGTCCAACCCCACTGCCCAGGCAGGGTCACCTGGAGCAGGTGACACAGGGAAGTGATCTGAGGGGGGGTGGGTTTGGAATGTTTCCAGACAGGGAGATTCACACCCTCCCTGAGCATCCTGTTCCAGTGCTCTGCCACCCTCCATGGGAAGAAGTTCTTCCACATGTTAGAAGTCGAATTTCCTTATATATATATGTGTATATATATATATATATATATACAAACAACAAACTTTAGTCCTGGCCACGAGCTTTCTCTAACACGGAACGAACAAAAAGCCAGCTATGCCCCAGCCAGGCGACCTTCTCCCCTTCCTCCAGCAGCAGCACCCAGCCTCACCTCACCCTCACACCTTCCCCTTCCAGCCCTTTGCACCGCACAGACCTCGCAGCACGCGGTGCCTACGTGACTCAAACCACCACCACCGCTGTTCCCGGAGCTCAGGGGCCAACCCCAGCCCTGCAGCAGGCAGCGTTATCCCAAAACCCAGCAGCACCATCATCCCCAAACCCAGCAGCACCATCATCCCCAAACCCAGCAGCACCATCATCCCCAAACCCAGCAGCACCATCATCCCCAAACCCAGCAGCACCATCATCCCAAAACCCAGCAGCACCATCCCAAAAACCAGCAGCACCCCAGGGTCCCATCAGCAGGGAGGAGACCACCCCGGGTCTGGTGCATCCCCTGCACCTCGGGGGGCACCTGAGGGCTCTGGGGGTGCCCAGGCGCCCCCCGACCCCGGGATGAGGAGGGTCCCCCCCTCCTGCCCCCGTGCCCGTCCCCCCACCTTGTTGTTGTACTCCTCCACGAAGCTGCCCAGCGCCAGGCGGAACCGCTTGTCGGGCCGGACGCTCCAGTTCATGGCGTACACGGTCCAGGGCGCCTCATACTTGTAAATCTCCTTCCGCTTCCCGTGCAGCGACATGGCTGGGCCGGGGGGCTGCCCCCGGCTGGGGGAGCGGGGCGGCGGCGCGGGGGCTCAGCGGGGGAGGCCCGGCCCGGCCCCCGCGGCGGCGGCGGGAGCGGGGCAGGCTCGGCACGGCCCGGAGTGGCGGGGCAGGCTGGGTTGGGCTGGGCTGGGCTGGGCTGGGTCCCGGTCGGCCCCCGGAGCCGGTCCCGCTGCGGCTCCGGCGGCGGCGCTGAGCCCGTTCGGGACTCGGCCCCTCACACAACGGGAGCGGAAGCCACGCGGGGAGCCCCGCCCACTTCACGCCGGTTGGCTGCCCTGCCTGTCATTCAGAGCGGAGGATGCGTCTATTGGTTGTTTCACCCGTCTGTTCGGCCCGCTTCGGTTTGCTATTGGTCGCTTTGGCCTTCATTCAGAACAGGCGCTCACGCTCCGGACGGGGTGACCTATGGCTGCCCTGGGCCCCGCCCTTCAGGGGCGGGGGCGCGCATTCTCGACATCTTATTGGCTGCTGGGGGTCGCAGTGGGTGGAGGCGGGATCTTGAGCCCTTATCGGTGGTTGATTGGCTAGGAGCGATGTCAGTCACGCCAGCCCGAGAAGGGCGGGGGCAGTCGGGCTCCACGGGTTCGAGTCCCGCCCCCGTCCGGTGGCGGACGGGGCAGGGCTCGGCTCTAATTAACCGGAACTTAATTATGGGGCTTATTTTTGGAAGCAACAGCATCGCTGGCGCGTGCCTGGCGCCTTACTGGGGAAATGGGAGCTCATTTCTGGGGCTCAGCATCCCGGGATGGATCAGCTGGGGGCGGGAGGGGGTGGCTGGTTTAACCCGCGATGGGGACGAGGGGTCTGTCCTCGCCTCTCAGGGGCCATATGGGAGCCGTGGTGGGTGATCCTGGGTCCACTCCCCAGGACCGGTCCCATCCTCACGGGAGCCGTGTCCCGTCACAGGGGATGCGGGGGGGGGTGTGTGTGTTTGGAAAGGGCTGTGCCCATCGAAGCCCCTCTCCCTGCAAGGACCCTTGGTGTGATCTTTGCCGAGTAATTCCTTCCCAGGAGGATGCAGCTGAGGCTCAGCAGAGATTTGGAACAGCTTTTCTACACGACCAGCAAGCTGTGTATGAGAAATGATCTTGCAAACACACCTCAGGCAAAGCCCCCCCAGCTCCATCCTTGACCTGTCAGAGCTGCAGACAGCCCCACACCCCCTGGATGAAGCAGCTGGGGTTTTACCACAGCCTTTTTGGGGGGGTCTTGGCAGATTTATTGCTTTGCACTGCCAGGAACGAACGATGGATTCACAGACGCTCCCAACGAGCACAGCCCTCACCCGCATCAGGTGCCAAAAACATCTTTATTAGCAAAGTGTACACTAAAACTCCAGAGAAAGAGATGCTCACAGTTTGACTACTCTGGAAGGGAGCTCGATACATGACTTGAGCTGGCGGCCTAGGACTGTCACAGCATCTACCCGAGCGGCGAAGGCGGCGGCGCTACGTGGGCTTCTCCTACGGGAATGCTGCCAGGAGAGGGGCTGGCCGGGAGGAAGCACCTATCAAACCTTTATCAAAAGAGAGAAGCTGGCGGGGAGGGCTGGACAGGAGGCGTCCGGGGCTTTTCAGCTCTCTGGGATTGTGCTTTTGAGTTTTGTGCTTTACGCCCAGGCCGGTGACCGGTTGGATTTGTCTGGGGAGGTGTGGGAGGTGTTGGGGGGGTTTGCGAGGCGTGATCGGCCTCGCTGGAGGAGTCAGTGCCCTGTGGGACTCGTGCTGAAGCATTGCAGTGGCAGGAGCTGTCGGCCCTTAGTTTCTCAGTGGCAGTCAAGTAGGACAAGCTTCTGCCCTCTGTCCTTGCCCTTGGCTTCCCTCCTGCAGCTCCCCACGGACCACACCGTGGAGATCTCCCCCTCCTCCTGTGCTGACCACTCTTTCTGCAGCACCTGTGGGCTCTGCTGGGCTTAGCCTGGTACCAACCCATGGTCCCTGCTCCAGAGAGCTCCCAGCACAGCCAAGAGCCATGGATTTGCCCTCCTGTGGTCGCTTGGCTTGTGCCATTCTTGAGAGGAAGCCTTGGCAAGGACGAGGCGGTGGGTACCTTTTGGCCTAACCAGCTCCTTGGTGGCTGAAAGAGCTGTTCTGGGTTCACTATAATGTGCAAATGAAACCTACTCTATTGGGAACCGCTGGAAAACGTCGACCTTGGAATCCAGCCACGCTACGCTTCCTTTCACGGTGGCAGAAGACAGCTACAAATTATACCCCTGAGCCAATGGCATTGTCCAATGTCTTACCCTTGCAGTCAAAATCGACATCAACTGACCCAGCCTGCAGTTGAGGTTCCTCCTGACTTGCCTTGCAGTCTCTAACTTCCAGGAAGCACTGGGTCGGAGAGGTGTCTCTGAATGTCCTGGTGCTCGGAAGGTGCCTCCAAGTGCTCAGGGAGGGAAGGGAAGCGAGAGCCCCGCAAGAGTCCCTGGGTGCTTGGTGCCCTTTGGTGGGGGGGCTCTGGGCTCGGGAGAGGCGGGGAGTGCTGCTCCTGCTCCGAGTGGACTGTCATGGTTTTGTCGGATGACCCGGAGAGGTGCATCCCGCTTGACAAGGAGTCCCTGGATTTCAAGTGGAACTTTTCTACCTCCGTGTAGCTCGGGCTCTGGTGGGAAAGGAGGAATCCAGTGGGTTATGGTAGAAGCAAAACAAAGCAGCCACACTCCCTCCTCATCAGCCTTGGAGCCTCACCAGGCTCCGAGCCCCAGAATGTCATTTTTCGCTTGAGCCTCCCTTAGAGGAACCCCCTCCCCTTCCTGCTGGTGGGGCAGCCTGGCAGTGCTGGGGGTGGCAGCTATGCCCCAAAATCAGCCACGCACTGGGAAAATCTACTCCCATGTCAAGGCCATTGGGCTTTGCCTGGGCCCACGAGTGTTTGGCTGTGCTTTGCCTGGAGGGTGCTCAGATCCGGCTGCCCAGGGCAGAAGGATGCTGAGCCAGGGGCTGAGCCAGGAGGGGTGACCTTACCTGCTCCTGGGTCGCCGTCTCCTCGTCCTCCAGAGGTGCACAGGGGGCGAGGGGCTCCAGGCTCCGCGGGAGGATCCCGTACATGGCCAGGTTTTGGGAGGACGGCGAGATGGGGCTGTACGCGGGTGGCACTTGGGACAGCTGGCGCTGCAGGAGCTGCAGGATTATACTGATGTCTGATGACATCCTGGACTCCAGCCTGGGGACAGAGCAGCCCAGTGTTAGTGCAGTGCATCCCACTGCACCCCTCGGCTGGGCAGGGGAGGCACTGGGGAGGAGGTGCCTGTTCCCCTGCCCGAGGGGGATGATGCTTTGCCTGCTGCTCGCTGAGGTTTTTAGAGAGCTTCAAACCAGAGAGATCAATCCTGCCATCTCTCTCCTGCCATTCTCAATCATCCTCTGCCCAATTTTATGTGGAGCCAAAGTGGGATCTGGAGTGGGGATTTGAAAAAAGCTAAAACTACCCTGGAGGGGGGAAAAAATTGCAATGGTTAGTTTTAATCTGGATCAATTCTCCAGGCCAGAAGCTTGTGCTGACAGATGGAGCAAGGCAGGTTGGTGCCAACCACTTTTAACTGAGTAATAGAAGGAAATGGAAAAGCAAGAATGTTTTCCCTCTGCCTTGGCCCTGACTGAAGTGAGCAGCTCTGGCAGGAGCGGGCACAGCCCCCCTTGCAGGGCACAGTTATGGTGTCACTTACAGAGGGGTAGATCTGTCCCCCAGTGCTGGGCTGGAGCATTGGCGAGACACCCAAAACATGGGTGTGTGGTGAAGTGAGCTAAATAAGGGCAGCAGAGCCCACAGAGCTCATGTGAGTCCTGCCTGGGGACCTTAAACCTGCACCTCCAGTGTGGGCTCTTCCCTCTTGTTCAAAAATCACAGAACAGTAGGGGTTGGAAGGGACCTTAAAGATCACCCAGTTCAATCCCCTGCCATGGGCAGGGACACCTCCCACTAGCCCAGGTTGCTCCAAGCCCTGTCCAACCTGGCCCTGGACACTTCCAGGGGTCCAGGGGCAGCCACAGCTTCTCTGGGCAACCTGTGCCAGGGCCTCCCCACCCTCACAGTCAGGAATTTTTCCCTAATATCTAATCTAAACCTACTCTCTGTTAGTTTGAAAAATCATGTGTTTTTTATTATTTAGAGAGCAACAGTGTGCATGAGGCTTGTTTGCTCGAGCAAGAGGATGCTTGTAGCTCTTTGCAGCAGGAAGAGGAGGCCTGCAGAGGGCTCAGGCTGTGCCCTGTGGGTGGTTTTGTGTCCACAATTGCCTTGAGTTTGGAAGCAGTGGCAAAGTGACAGATCCCGGGTGGTGGTGACACTGTGGCAGATCCCAGGGGTGGTGACAGGTCCCAGGGGTGGTGGCACAGGGGCAGACAAGGGGCTGGGCTGCAGCCAGGGCCAGGACTTTGCCCTTTGAGAAGCTGCTGCATTTGCAAATGCGGCGTCCCAGGGGTCAGGAGGTGGCGTTGCTGCCACAGAGCCCACTGTGGCCACTGATAGAAAGCAGAAGGTGATGGCCCAGAGTCCCCCTGGGTCCCCTCTGACCCTGTTCCCCGTGGACCTGCCCACCTGCTGAGCTGGGCCTGCAGGAGCTCCAGCCTGGACTCGATCTGCCCCGGTCTGCAGTCGCCGGGCAGGGGCACGTCCCGCGAGCTCTGCACCAGGGAGATGTGCTGCAGGGGCTCCGGGGCAGGGTTCGGCCGCCGGTCCTCCCAGAAGGTGAACATGTTGGGGATGTCCAGGGGGGTGGCTGGAAGGAGAGGAGACACCTCAGCACCTCTGTCTTGCATCCTCCAGCCCCGCTGGCATGGAGGTGCTCCAGAGTCCATCACCCTGACACACGTGGAGAGCCATCTCTGGGACACACATGGAGAACCTTCACCTGATACACATGGAGAGCCTTCACCTGACACACATGGAGAGCCTTCACCTGACATGCACAGAGAGCCATCTCTGGGACATGCATGGAGAGCCTTCATGTGACACACATGGAGAGCCATGACCTGACATACATGGAGAGCCTTCATGTGACACACATGGAGAGCCATCCCCTGATACACATGGAGAGCCTTCACCTGATACACATGGAGAGCCATCTCTGGGACACACATGGAGAGCCATCACCTGATACACATGGAGAGCCTTCACCTGACATGCACGGAGAGCCATCTCTGGGACATGCATGGAGAGCCATGACCTGACATACATGGAGAGCCTTCACCTGACACACGTGGTGCTCAGAGAGAGTCCATCACCCTGACACCTGAGGGGCTTATGGGGATCCATCCCCCTGGCACCCAAGATGCTCGGGGACAGTCCATCACACTGGCACACAACACAACTGTGGAAGTCATTTGGCCCCTTGGAGCAGCCCCAGAGGGGTCCCTGGGTGCTGGGAGAAACTACAGGGCACAGGAGGGATAGAGCAGACACAACTGGGGAAAAAAGGCAGCAAAGACCCTTGGTACCAGCCTGGCTCCCCTCAAATCCACGTCCCATCCTTGGCTCTGCCCCCAGACAAGGCCCCCACGCCCAAGCCTCTCTCACCAGCCCCCTGCCAGCTCTGGCTGCAGCCCTGGGTACCTGCATAGGACTGGCTGCTCTCTGCTCCTTGCTTCCCAACCTCCGCGTTGTCGGCGCTGGGGGTGACGAGGCTGAGCGAGGGCAGGGCGAGCTCATCCTTTTTGGGCGTGGGGAAGGGCTCAGCTTTCACAGGGCTGCCGGTCTTGGCCTCGTCGTCACTGGTCTGGGAGCAGGGAGAGGTGCTGCTGCCCGCGTCGTCCCACTGGTCCTTACTCAGCGGGTCCTGCGGGTTGGTGAGCTCTGAGTAGGTGTGATACTGCTCTGCATCAGAAATGCCTGTGTCTGGGTCTGTGGGACAGCACAACAGGTTAATCTGGGGAGTGCCACGCGTGGAAAAATCAGCCCCCGTCCCTTGTAGGGCGCCTGTAGGGCTGGGGGCGTCCTGAGGGGAGGGACAGAGGGAGGGAAAGCAGTTTGGGTGCCCCAGGGTGGTCTGCAGGGACAGGGGCACCAGCAACCTCTGCCTTGGGGCGCTTGCCAGGGCAGTAATTAAAGGATGATCCCACTCCCCAGCCCTCCCCTGGCTCCCCAGGCCAGGCTGTGCTGATCCCATGGACTCACCGGGCTTGCTGGGCGGGCAGGGCGAGTGCTTGCGCCGCCGGGCCCGGCGGTAGGTGCAGTCGTAGTCCTCGCTGAGGGGGGAGCGGGGAACGCTGTCTGCCTGAGGGAGGAGAGGGGCTGGTCACCAGGGAAAGGCTGCCATGTCCCATCCGTGGGTGCCACAGCCCACCCATGGGTGCCTTGTCCCATCCAAAGGTACCGCTTCCCATCCATGGGTGCCACAGTCCGTCCGTGGGTGCCATGTACCATCCACGAGCACCAAGGCCCATCCATGGGTGCCATTTCCCACCCGTGGGTGCCGTGCTCCATCCACAGGTGCCATGTGTCATCCATGGGTGCCACGTCCCATCCACGGATGCCACGTCGCATCCATGAGTACCACAGTCCATCCATGGGTGCCACAGTCCATCCATGAGTACCACAGTCCATCCATGGGTACCACAACTCATCCATGGGTGCCATGTGCCATCCATGGGTACCACAACCCATCCATGGGTACCACAACCCATCCGTGGGTGCCACAACCCGTCCATGGGTGCCACAACCCATCCGTGGGTGCCACAACCCATCCATGGGTACCACAACCCATCCATGGGTGCCACAACCCATCCATGGGTACCACAACCCATCCATGGGTGCCATGTGCCATCCATGGATGCCATTTTCCACCTGTGGGCACCAAGGCCCATCCATGGGGGCTGTTTTCCATCCATGGATACCACAGCCCATCCATGGATGCCATGTCCCACCCATGGGTGCCATGTCTCATCCACGTGTGCCATGGCCCTGCATGCCATGGGGGCTACAGCCCATTCTGCATCCTCCTAGGACTGGTGTCCAGCTCCCTCCTGCTCTCCAGCACTGCCCTGTCCCACCCAGAGCCTCCTGGGCTGGTTGCAGAGCTCAAGGGATCCCTGAGCCTGGCCTTGCTGCTTGAGGCTGAGTTGAAGGTGTCAGGACCATGGGGAGGGAAAGGGCACCCTGAGGTGGGGCAGGACATCCCAGGGTGGGATGGGACATGGAGGGAATTTGACTTTCTTTTCTATCTTACCAGGCCTCTGAAAAAAATGGCAGGAAAGGACAAAGTTCAGTCATAAACTATAAGAATCAACAGCAGTAGCGAAAATGCTCCAAGCCTTTCAGGGACTGCAAACCTGATTATTTAAAAAGGAATTTTCAGAGGAAACCGGTACCCAACTCAACGAAACCTGAGAATATTTCATACTTCAGCAGCCTTAAAACATGTGTGTGTGACCCACTTGCCCAGGCTGGAGCAGCCCTGGGGATGATTTACAAGTGCTGCAGAGCAGAACACCACTGACCTGGCTTGTGGGGCCACCCTTTCCAAAGAACCCAGGAACATGTAGTATATGCACGTGCTTGCTGGGCTGGGCAGGGGGGGTAATCATAACCACACAGAGAGGAGAATCATAACCACACAGAGAGGGGAATCGTAACCACACAGAGAGTGCCTTGGGAAATGTGGCTGTTGGCCAATCCACCCCCAAAGTGATCAAGGAGCACCTGTGGACATCCTTGCCCTCCCACTTGCCACACTCAAGGCGTTGCCCACACTCCTGGCTGGGGCAGCCCTGGCACTCACATCTCGCAGGTTGAAGGTGATCTCCAGGTTGCTCCAGAAGTTGTCAGAGAAGGCTGGGTACATGTCCAAGACCTCCAGCAGGTCCTCGCGCTGGATCTTGTGCAGGTCGCAGTAGGTCAGGGCCCTCACGTCGGCGTTGGACTTCCCTGGGCGGGCGTAGAGGCTGATGGGCTCCCCGAAGATGTCGTTCTTCCCTGTGCCAAGAGACAGCTCGTTAGGGACAGGTGGGCACCCACTCCAGCTCCAGCAGCCCTCACTTTGGGACTCACAAACAAGGGGATGCCCAGTAACCCCCACCCTGATTGTGGACACGGGATAACACTGTGACAGCCACCACTGATAGGCACACCGAGCCAGGGCAGTGGGTCATCAGTGATGGCTGGGGACTGCTGAGCCATGCCTTGCTCTCCTCACTCCCTTGTGGCCTCTCCCTGGCCTCCCCCAGGGATCCTCCATTCCCTGTCCACTGGTGTGGTGACCAGTTGGAGTCTGAGGAACAGCCTTCCCTTCTCCAGGACAAGTAAAAGTCCTTTGACCTGATTTCTCTGTGGTGACCAGTGATAGAAACCATGGGAGTGACCTGAAGCTGTGTCAGGGGAGGTTTAGGTTGGATATTAGAAAAAAGTTCTTCCCCCAGAGGGTGGTTGGCACTGCCCAGGCTCCCCAGGGCAGTGGGCACGGCCCCAAGGCTGCCAGAGCTCCAGGAGGGTTTGGACAACGCTCTGAAGGACAGGGTGAGATTGTTGGGGTGTCTGTGCAGGGCCAGGAGTTGGACTGGATGATCCTTGTGGGTCCCTTGCAGCTCAGCATATCCCGTGATTCTGTGATTCTGTGATTCTGTGACCCTCACCTGCCACCCTTTTTCCACTGCTCACTGCCCACCACCCACCACCCTTTGCCCCTCGCCCACCACCCCTTGCCCTCTCAGCAGGAAGGACTCTCCCACCTAGGATGGCCACCACGATGTCTTCCCGGAGGATCTCGATGGAGCCCCTGGAGATGAAGTAGAGCGTGGTCAGGACATCTCCGTAGTGCACCAGGGTGTCCCCGGGCGGGGCGTGAGTCGTCTTGAACTTCATGGCCAGGGCTCTGAGGCAGCCCTTGCTGGCTCCTCGGAAAGCCTTGCAGTTCTGGAGCAGCGTGCGGTTGAGGTGCAGGCAGATGTCTGCCTGCAGGCAGTCGGGGAAGCCCTTCAGCACCTGTGGAGAGCAAGGAAGAGGTACCATCACACCACTGTCCCCGAGAAGGGACAGCCACGGGGGGCTGTGGGACACGCAGGGCGACACAACGGGGCCAAACAAGGAGCCTGTGCACCCAGAGAGCCAAAGCTGGGGACATCTTCCCGTGCCTGGAAAGCCAGGTTGGATGGGGCTTGGAGCAACCTGGTCTAGTGGAAGGTGTTCCTGCCCATGGCAGGGGGTGGAACAAGATGAGTTTTAAGGTCCCTTTAAGGTCCCTTCCAACCCAAACCATTCTATGATCTTTTGATCTTCCCCTGGTGGATCCCTGCCTGCCTGTCACCGGCTTTTACTGCTCATGGCTGGGGACAAAAACACTCCCAAGCAATAAATAACAGTAACCAGATCAGTCTCTTTATACCCACTGGTGGCATATCCCCCTTTTCATCTTTACGCCCACTAATCTTGGCTGAACGAGAGCACAAACTGGCACAAGGAGCACAAAAACCTTAATTAAACAACACCTGCCTGAATGCCAAGAGGCAGCAGCAGCAGCACAGGACAGTTGTGTGCAGCACCAGCTAAATATACCTGTGCAAATACCTCATGGTGAACAAAAGCTGAACCTGAAGGTGAAATCAAGGTAAAACTCACAATATGGACAAAGCTGCTGCCACCAGTGACTCATGGTGCCACGGTGAAATCCACCTGGGATGGGGTTTTTTTAGGAGAGCAGCATATGGCTCTGGGGTCCCCCTCGCTGTCCTCTCCGCTCACATCCCGCTGGTGGCCAAATCTGGAAAAGCCATGCTGGGGCTGCTGAGCACGACTTGTTCTTGGCTCCATCCTGATCTCCCAGGCTGGCAGCAGTGCCTTAGTTTCCCTACTGGGAAATCAGGGGTGGGTGGATTGATCGGGCTGTGGGGTGATTGATTAGGTCGTGTTGTGTCTCAGCAGCATCCAGCAGGAACTGGTGTGAGCAGGGGCACGTCAAGCACAGCTGTCATGGGGGGTTTGTGTCCTGAGTTTGCACTAAGTCAGTGCAGTGTTCTTGATAGGATACCATGGGTTTGCTTCTAGTTATTGCCACCGACGTCCGGCCCACATGGGAGAAGACCCCACAGCTCTCCCAGCAGCAAACCCCCAGATGCTGCCCAGTTGTTTAATGTGACAGCAGCAGCTTAAGATGGAGAGGTGAATTCATACAAATCCATGCCCTGATGGTGCTCGGGGATGGAGGAGGATCAAATCTTATGAAGAAAAGGAGCATGAACTGGGAATGAGTGGGCTAATGACCTGCCCAGCGCCAAGAGAAGGGAAGTACCAGCTCTATCTCTCTCCTTGCCTCGTCCTTTCTCATTCCTCTGCCTTGCTGCTGGCCAAGCCAGAGCATTTTTGCACTGAATCCTGTGGCCATGAGCCAAGTCCAACCACCTCGGCCCCAGCCCAGGACTCCCTGGCCAAGCCCCCTCCCCACTCCTGTGGAACCCCGGCGCCGTCAGCACAAGCCTTCCCGCCGGGCCGGGAGCCACGGCGCCTCTCCAGCACAGCTCCGCCATTGATCCCCCCTTTGCTAACAAACAGCTGCCTCTCTGGGCTCTAATTAAAATGGATCGAGGTTTATTTAAATGCCCTCCTTTCCCTGCTGCGAGAGCAGGATGCACTTTGCTTAGCAACCGGCGGTGTGGAGAGGAGCTGGATCGATACCTGCTCCGCGGCTCTGACACCAACAGACACCGGCCTGAAAGTGCTCGGCGCCGATGGGGCCTCTGAGCTCCTCACCAAACCCACTCTCTGGCCAAGAGATGCCCTCATGCAACCTCTGGGTAGATGTGGACGAATGGATAGAAAAAGGGGAGAAGGAGAAAGGGAGATGCAGGAGATGGGTGATCAGAGAGCCTGCCTCCAGCCTCCCAAGTCTTCTAACTCGTCTCCGCCCCGGTCGAAAGGTTGGAAGTGTTTGGGTGGACCCAGATCCAGACTCCAAGTTGTTCAGGACAAGGTGCCGTGAGGACATGTGGCCTCCCTGCCCCGCACTCACCGCGTTCATGTCGATGCCGTTGGTGTAGGACCAGGCGTGTTGGAAATACTCCTCCAGGCGCTGGCGCAGGGGGTTGGGGATCTGGTGGAAGCGGATGAACTCCTTGACCCGCAGCATCTGCGTGTGGTAGCGGGCGGTGCCCGAGTACAGGCGCTGGATGATGGCAGAGACGTTCCCAAAGATGCTGGCGTACATCAGAGCTGCAAGGAGAGGGCAGGACTCAGGGGGGAGATGCATGTCCAGCTACATCAGACCTGGAACAGCATATTTCCAAACCCCATATCTCCCATGGGCCCAGAACCAGGAGGTTTCTGAAACCCGTATTTCTATCACCCCATCCATTTGTCTGTGCAGAAGAGGCACAGGCAGAGGGAGATGCTCTGCTAAAACCCCACATGCTCTCCCTGTTTCCCCCCTGAGCAGCCCCTCCAAACTCCAAACCAGGGGTGGGGACAGCAGGACACGCGCGGGCACTCACAGCCGATGAGCATGACACAGATGGAGAAGATCTTCTCGGAGTTGGTGTTGGGTGACACGTTGCCGAACCCCACGCTGGTGAGGCTGCTGAAGGTGAAGTAGAGGGCAGTGACATATTTGTCCTTGATGGAGGGGCCGGAGGAGAGGTCGCTGTCGTTGTAGCGCTTGCCGATCTGGTCTCCCAGGTTGTCCAGCCAGCCGATCTTGTGCTCCATGTAGGGCCTCTCCACGTTGCCGATGGCGTACCAGATGCAGGCGAGCCAGTGGGCGATGAGGGCGAAGGTGCACATGAGCAGGAAGAGCACGGCTGCTCCGTACTCGGAGTAGCGGTCCAGCTTGCGGGCCACGCGCACCAGGCGCAGCAGCCGGGCGGTCTTCAGGAGGCCTATGAGGGTGGTGGTCTGCAGGGGAGAGGTGAGAAGCCTCAGGGCCAAGCAAGAGGATAAATCTGGCCAAAGGCACGTCCCCAGCCGAGCCCCGTGCTTCCTTTGAAGGATATAAACGCATTTCTAGAGCGTGAATCACCTTGTCCTGGAGGTGACCTCTGAACTAGGTCAGGTGAGTCATGCCACATCCTGACCATAAAGGCAACAAGCTCTGGGATTACGGGTGAGCAAGTGAGAGGAGCCAAGGCCAAACCCATGGGTCCTCACCTTGCCAACCATTGCTCCCAAAACAGCTGCCTTTCACTCCCAGATGTGGGGCCTCCAGGTAGTGCAGTAACCACAGGGCCATTCCACTGCCAACATTTTGAGTCTGGCTGGCAATGCAACCCCAAATTCAGCCTCACTGGAGTGTGGGGCCAGTCCCTAAACAATCCCCTAGCCTGCTCTGCTGGGTCAGCCCCAGCAAGGGGAGCGGGTCCAGTTAGACACTGTTTTAGCACTTATAGGGTCTGTGGGGTTGTTTGAGCATACACAATGAAATCCCAAGTCCCAGCTGCCTAATAAAAGCCTGTCATGACATCCTTGTCTATTCTCTGACTAAACCACCCCTCTCCTCGTGGGTTTAGCCATCCACCACTTACATCAAGACATCCGTATCCCTGTCTTTCTCTCCCAGACATCTCTCCCTATCCACCCAGGGGTCCCCTCCTGTCCTGATGGACCTGCAGACCGTACCTCGTCAGAGCCGGAGCGGAAGATGAGCAGGTCAAAGGGGATGGCGGCCACCATGTCGATGAGGAACCACCCCTTGAAGTAGTGGATGGCGATCTTGCCGGGGTGGCTCACCACCTCGTCGTTGATGTTGACGTAGGTGGTGCGGAAGTTGATGACAATGTCCACGATGAACATGATGTCCACGATGAGGTCGATGATGTTGAGCGGGTCGCAGGAGTAGCTGCAGTCCCAGCGCTTCTCCTCCACCTGCTCCTCGTTGAGCAGGAAGGCGGCCGAGTAGGGGGTGAAGACGGCTGTGTAGATGACCAGCAGGAGGATGAGCCAGTCCCACACGGCCTTGAAGGGGCTGTAGTGCAGGATGGTCCATCGGTGGATACGCGGCGCCTGCAGCTTGTACTCAGGGAGGACATCGGCACCCAGGGACAGCACCTGCCAGGAGATGGATGTGAGAAGGATGGGAGACCTGGAGAGAGGCTGGATAAGGCCAGGAACCAGGGAAAGGGCTTCCACATGCTGGTAGGGCAGCCAGAAGCACACAATGCACTTCCTACACCCTTTTCACCTTTGTTGGATTCATATGGTTGCCCAGGGGGCCATAGAGTGAGTTGCCCACTCACCCTGTTGTGGCTGACACCAAAGTGTGTCCGGCTCCTCTTCTGTCAGAGCACCCTTGGGGCAGCTGTTTCCCTGCTTTGTGGCCTTCTGAGCCTTTCATGCCAGCAGAGAGGAAGGTGCCTCCTGCCGTGCCTCTGTCTGCCCTCGGCTTAGTGCCACCAGCTTGGGAGCTGCTGGCTGAACCTGGCACAGGGCTACGGGCATGGGCAGCTTGGAGATGCCATCCCATGGCTGTGCCATGGCCTGGCCTCGAGGGTTACAGCACATTAGGCACCTCCCAAGCCTTGCACCACGCCTTTCTTGGCCTCAGCATGGACCTTCTCCTGGATGTCCCTCTGGCACAGTCATCCTCCAAGCAGAGGGTGCAGCTTGGGGCACTCCCAGCACAGCCTCAGGCAATGCCCGTTTCCCATCTGAGCATCCCCAGGGAGGGGTGACCTGTGGCCACCAACGTGCAAACACCATCTCAAGCGTGCACGCACCCCCCTCATGCTGTCATGTGTCCCCAGGTCAACCACAGCACCAGTGAGTCCCCCACATGTCCCAGGCCTGTCCCAGCTCCCCCTTCAGGACCAGTGCCAGCTTCTGACGGGCTCTAAAGCCACCCTGGGGGCACAATGCAAGGCCCTGGGGATGGGAGGGCTGGGCCTGCTTGGGGTGCTGAGGGGCAGTGGCATGAAGGGGCTTATTTGGGGGGTAGCCAGATCCCCCCTGCCTGCCCCTGCTGCTCTTTTGTTCCCTAGTGTCCCTATGGTGCCGGGCACCAGTGCCAGCTGCAGAGGAGGGTGAGGGGCACCCCAGTGCTGTCTCCTAGCACTGAGCCCCCACTAAAAGGCACCTCTTTGCCTGGCTGCGAAGGAGAGGAGAGAAGAAAGAGGAGAGAGGAGAGAGGAGAGAGGAGAGAGGAGAGAGGAGAGAGGAGGATCCACATGTCCCAAGGCGAGGGTGATGGGCACAGTCACTGATGGGCATCAGCACCTGCAAGAAGGGTCTGACCCTTCCTGCGCTGACAGGAAGGAGGATCTTGCACCTCGTTAAAGCGCTCAAGGGCTTCCCGAGGGCTCCTGATGCCGTGACCCGGAGCGGACCCAGCCCAGCCGTCCCACCACCCCGGGACACCGGCGGGGCCCCGCGCCCCGGAGCAGCCCCCCTGCTCCTACCTGCCTGCAGCTCGCCCGGCGCCCCAGGCGGCAGCTGACCCTCGGGCTCCGGGTGTCCACCATGGGGGCCCCCACGGCCACGCGCCCGGGCAGCGGCGGGCACGGCGGGCGCAGCGCTCGGGCCCGGGCATCGCCCAGGCAGGCACGCAGGCACTCGGCCAGGCGGGCGGGAGACATGCGGCTGCGAAGGGCATTCGGGAGCCCGGCGTGGATTAATCAAACCCGATCGATGCCGGGGCCCCCGTGGGGGACAGGGAGCGCCAATGGAGCGGCGGGAGCCGTCGACGTCCGCTGGCGGACGGAGAGGGGAGGGATTGGAAAAAGTGACCCAAACGCAATCGTTGAGGGCGGAGGGGAGCGAGGCGCTGGATGGGCTTGGGGACTGCGCTCCCGCGGGGACGGCGGGGAAGGGGCAGGGCAGCACCGGTAAAACCTTGATCCCCAAACTAAGATGCACCCAGAGGACCTGGGATAGGCTCTTACACCTTGTGTCTGGGAAAACCAGCAACGCTCCCACCCTCAGCAGCTGAATCCTCACCTGCCTGACTGGAGGCAGCTCTGTGAGGATAGTTGTGAATTCAGGCCCCCAAATGCTGCTCCCTGTGCTGGGGCACCTGCCCTGCCCCTCATCCCTGCTCCTGGCACCCACATCTTGCAGAAGAAGCAAGAGCAGGTCAAGACCTGTTGTTTTCCAGGCAGGCATTAATAAAAAAACCACAATCCCAAAGATCTGAGGCAGGAAAGGCTAAAGAAACAACTCGCAAAATAGCACCCAAACCAACACAGAGCCAGGGAGCTGCTGCAGCCTTGTCCCTCTCTGCCCCTGGGGGGTGGGGAGGGCTGTGGGTGTCACCCTTGGTGGCCTGGGTGGCCCCGGGAGTCTCCGTAGGTGGCAGTGCTGGCTGCCCCCCATGGTGATCCCGTGGGTGCCCCTTCCCTCTTCCCCTTCCCCCTGCACTTACCGGCCTCAGCCGCAGCCGCAGGCTCATGGTGCTGGGTGCTGGGTGCTGGGTGCTGGGTGCTGGGTGCTGGGCAGTGAGTGAGGGAGCTGCAGCAGGGAGGAGGAGGAGGAGGGAGGAGGGAGCAGGGTGTGTGAGGGCTGTGGGTGACAGAGGGGGGGAGGCTCCCATGACCCGGGCTAACCCAGGCCATGTGCCCCGTGGTGCCCAGCACCCTGTGCCTTCCTTGTCCCCTGCCCTGTGCTGGAGATGGAGGCACTGGGCTGGGGAGGGGGGCCACTCCAGAGCTGCCAGGAGACCCTCAAGCATGAGGGGCTGGGCAGGATGAGGCCAGGGTGCTGGCTGCAGGCGGGCACTGACCTGGTGTCCCTCCCAGCCCATATCCTGACACAGCTCAGCCCCCCCTCCCTGTCCCCAGCACCCTCCTGCCCAGCTCCACCACCACCCTCGGGACAGTCCAGGGGACTGGGACACACACCACCTGCAACAGGACCCCAGCCTGGTGACACCAACCCCACAGCATCCCCACGTGCCTCCAGCTATGCCCCAGAGCCACAGCCCTGGCAGGCCGTGCCCAGCACATTCTTTGCACTTGTGACCTGCCCTCTCCTGCTGTGGGGCCAGACCACCCCAAACAGCCCCTGCCTCCTCTCCCTGCCCACCAGCAGGTATTTTTAGACACTGTTAGTGGTGTCTCGCCACTGTCTCTGCCTCACCATGAATTATTTATCAGCCAGGAGAGGGGAGCTCTGGCTTTGTGGGAGGTTCAGGGGACGTCGGGGTGAGAACAGGGAGGATGCCTGGGTCCCCCATGGAAGGGGGAGATATGGAGGGGAGGAGAGGTCCATCCAGTCCTGTCCTGTCCCATCCCATCCTATCCCATCCCATCTGGAGACTGAATGTGAAGGGAAGGTCAGTCTTTGTGTACTCTGGGGTCCTGCAGGGACCCGTCAGCTGCAATCCTGTCACATCACAACCAGCTACTGTCCCCACACTGAGTGGCCAACACCACCGTGCCACTGTCACCCCAGTGTGGACAGCGGCCCTTGTTGTGGGGGTGTCCCTTGCGATGGGGACAGGGCATGGAGGCTGCTCACCGTCCCGCTGGAGTTCTGGGGCTGATCCCTGGTCACTGCAGTCACCCCCAGATCAGAGGCACTACGTGGGGTTTGGGGTGAAGGGGACAAGCCTGGGGGAAAACGAGCCCAAGAACTGCCCCGTGCTGTGGGGAGCAGGGAGTGCCCCTGCCACACGTGGAGGCCACGAGGCAGGAGGAGAACCCCGCAGAGCACCCCGCTCTGCTGGAGCTGACTTGCAACACCAGAGGCTTTTCTGGGCTCAGATGGCTGAATTAGCGCTAAATCTGCCCTGGGCTGCTGCTGGCAGCAGCGGGAGGTGCCCTTGGATGTGTTTCATCCCGTGCCTCAGTTTCCCCACAGGCCAGAGCTCCCTCCTCGGGATCGCGGGACACGGCGGCACCTTTCCCGCATCCCGACACGTCAGAACAGCGCCACGCGCGTCCCTTGCGGTGACACCGCACGGCCACACGTGTCCCGCAACAGGCAGTGCCACACGTGTCGGTGACAGTGCAGTGCCACCTGCTGTCTCCCGGGGGATCTGGTGGCCCTCGGCGTGGCCACCTTTGCTCCTGGCGTGGACCAGGCGAGCACCTCAGGATCAGCAGCGCCCTGGCGGCTCCATCCCTGGCGTTGGGGTCAGGAAGAGAGGCCAGAGCCTCCCCCCCAAATGAAGCCACGTGCACACACAAACATGCTCACACGTGTCCCCTTCAAGGCCACCATCACACCATGAGCAGTCTGTGCCAGTGTTCCCCCAGCCACAGAAATTACCAGAAATATTAGAGGGAATAAAAAGAGCATTTCAGCCACTCAGAGGAAGAGAGAAAACCCAAACACAGGGGTGCTGGCATTTCCTAGGGTGGAATCTCCAGGTATCACTGCACTGTCTGCTCCTCTTCTCCAAAAGCCACAGGAGTGGCTGTGACTGTCCCCCAGCAGCAACACCACGACCCCACCACTGCCTCGGCGGCCTCTCAGCGCCCACGTACCTGCGTGACCTTCTCGGTGACGTTCTGGGTGCGCTCCATCACCTTGTGGGGAGCGATGATCTCGATCTCCGTGGTGGAGCCCGAGCGGTGCTTCTCCAGGTTGAACTCCACGAAGTTGAGGGTGAACTGGGGGATCTGGCTGATGGTCCGGTACTTCATGAGGTCCGAATCCGAGGTGGAGTTCGGGGGGTTGGGTTTGACGTGGGAAGCCTCTGCAAGAGGATGGAGAGGAGCGTTGAGAAGGGCAGTGTGAGCAGGAACTGACCTGCAGAGCCCCCACCTCACTCTGGGACCCCCAGGGATCGGGGACCACCACAAGGTGCCACCAGAAGGTGCCACCAATGTCTGCCTGGCCATAAAGGCTTGGCTTCTTCAGCGTGGCTCAGGCGTGGGATGCCTGACCCAAGACTCCTGAGAGGGGGCTGCTTGTCAGACACATCACCTATCTCTTTACCATTGAATCTCCTTCAGGGGCTCAGACCAAGATACAGAGGCATCCAATATCCTATGCTGTCCCTGAAGACTGTAGCAGGCTAGGGACCAGCCCCAATGAGACCTATCAGAGAGGGATGCCAAAACTGGCAAGAAAACAGATGAAGGAGGAGGTTATTGTCCTCCACCCCTGCAGCTCCTGAGCTGCTGCCTTGGTGTTTGGCCACCAAACTGAGCAGCAGTTGGATGATGTCCCCACTCAGGTGTATCATTCACCCCCATGCTCCAGGTAGGGAGGTCAGGGCTTTGTCTGGAAGAAGAGCTGTTGTGGGGCTGGATCCTGACAGTTTTCCCTGGGGATCTGCCTCTCTGGGTGACCCCAGTGCAGGACCGGGAAGGAAACCCTGGAGGTTCATGGTCAAGGCTGTGGCAGTGTGTTTGTCATGGATGGGAGCAGGTACCCACATCCAGGGCTCCAGTATCATCCCCAAGCACCATACCCAGTGTGTTCCCACCTTTCCATCTCCTCCAGGCAGGGCAGGGTTGTGTTTCCAGCTTTCTACCCCTTCTATCCCTTGCACTCTGACATTGACCCAGGTGGTGTTGTGAGCAGGAGGTGTCTGAAGACATTGTGAAGGTGATGGTGAGCACCACCTGCCACCCTTCTCCCTGCTCATTCCCCTTCCCTCCCTCTACATTTTGTCCCCTCCTGAGGGGCCATAACCTGTGACTATTTGAAGATCATGATCCCCCACCCCGTTTTCTCATGCCAGACACCACAGACCGATCTCTGTCCATCCCCAGTTACTGAAGCTTGTCTTTCCTGACCTTAATCTAATTTGTCATCATCACTCTCATGAGAACAAGAGGTCTGGACATCAATACCATGATGGAGGTGTGTTCCCTCCATCCCTCCAGAGTGGCCTGGCCGGTGTCTCATCTGCCTCCAGCACATGGACACAGCTCACATTGCACATGCCTGCAGACCCCTCCCCTCCCTCCCGGGGAGGTGGGGTGGCAGTGGGACGCCCCTCGTGTGGGGCAGCCGAACACAACCTCACACAGTCTCACATCTCACACACAACACCGTGGATGGCTCCACGCACAGAGCAGGACCTGCCTACGCAGGGAATCGCGTGGAGTCCAGTGGATCTGGGGAGAAGACCCCACCTTATCTCCACTTCGCAGAGGAAAAGCAGTGCAGGGCAAGAGACCAAGACCTCCCCCCCAAGATGTGCCGGGGCCATTGCCCAGGGCCCTGGCTCCCGCAGAAAACCGACAGCTCCGGGGGTTTTCCCCTACCTGAGTTTGCCCTCCTTTCCCTGAATTTTCTCTGGAACTCAGACCTCGCAGCCTCAAAGTTGTCCAAGGAGGAGACCCTGCGGAGGCTGTGGAAGCTGCCCCCAGGGCGAGACCGAAAGAAACCCCACGCGGGGTACGACCCTTGTGGGCCCGGCAGGGGAGGCTCTTGTTTCGGGGACGAGTGTTGTAGGGTGGGGTCGGCCTCCAGGCTCGGCCTCCGCTCCTTTTCCAGGAGGGATTCGGTCTCTGACTGCATACAGTTCTCCTTGGGCGATGTCTTCAAGTCCCTCAAAATCAGGGAGTCACCACCAGGCTTTAAGACAGCCAGGAGAAAGCGTTGTATTAGAAGGAGTCCCCGCGTGCTGGGGGGGAAGGAGAGGGAGCCGGGGGAGGTAAGAGGAGGGGCAGAGGGCTGGGAAGCGCCGCAGTTCCCGGGGTCACCTCCAGCCGGGACCAGGACCTGCTTTGGAGTGGGGCGACCGAGTCCCTGGGGACCTGGCAGCTCCCACCTCCCACCAGCTCCCACCGGAGGCTGGGTGGCCGCGGGGTGTTCGCAAGGCGATGCTGCACAGCCGGGAAGCAGAGCGAGAGAAGAGCAGAGCCCAGGGACAGGCTTGCTGGAGTACCTGCCTTGCCATGCGCTTTTCTGAGGTGTCCCTATGACCCATCGCTGGACCTGCCCTCCCCTCACCTGCTGCAAGAGCTGAGGCCACCCCCGAGGGTCAGTGCCCAGGGTGCTGTGCTGGTGTCTGTGGGAGAGGCTGTGCTCTGCACCAGGAGCCACTGCAGGAGCTGCTGGGTTTGCAAATCTGGCCATATTGGTCCTCCTTCTCCTGCAGCCACCCTTAGCCATGGCTAAACCTTCTTCCCTGGAGACCTAAAGAGTTTCCAGCCTTTAATGACTTCTGCAATGGGGTGCACAGAGCAACCACCTTCTGGAGCAGAACCCCCTGGGACTGTGCCCCTCCAGTGATACCCATAGGAGGGACTGTGGCACTTCTCACCACCCCTAAGGACTTTAGGGCGGGTTTTAGGATGTGGTGCCAGGAGGGGCTGGCTGCCCCTGGAGCTGCAGAGCTGCCCCCACTTGATCATCAGGTTGTCCTCAATCCACATCTTCCGTGTGTGTGTGCACCCCAAACATCCCAGTGCACTGCACAGCTTCAGCCTGGGGGTACCCAGCGCTGGTGTCTGTGGGAGTGACATACCCAGAGTATCTGATAACATGACACGTTTTCAACCTGCCACAAGCACAGCCTCTGAGAAGTCAGGCACCTTTTGTCTCTCATATCTATAATTTTGGGAAGCAGCTTTACCCAGGCTGTCTGGATACAGCCAGCACAGCGAGAACCTGGCACCCGGGGATGCCTTAGCAGAGCAGGAGCCTCCTGCCCACAGCCTCGAGCTGCAGCACTGCAGAAACAACACGTCTGTGACTGGAGGTACCCGGAGCACTTCTGACAGCCAAGAAGCCACCGAGAACGACAGTCTCTAAAGAGGACCCACCAAGAGTTTTTCAAGGTCAGCAATGGCAGCATCACCCTCCATCACAGGAAGCACAGTCTTTGCTGAAGGGCTGAGAAGCCGGATCTGCCTGCACTGCCTGGTCCCTGCCAGGAAAACCACGGGGAAATGAGCCTTCCAGTCCCTGCTCAGAGCACACCTGCTCCTCTCTCCTACAGCCACCAGCACGTCCCCTCCTCGAGGTGAGGACAGCTCCCTGGAGCTCCACCATCCCGGACAACGTGCACTATGGAGCCAGACCTTCCTCCCAGCTTTGGCAGCTCGGCACATCTCCCGCTCCCCCCGCCAGCCACGGCCCGGCAGAGCAGCACCAGCTCCATCCCACGCCACCAAAGCACCGCGCTCACCACCGGCCCTTGCCGGGGCCAGTGCCTGGCACTGCCCCAGCACCGGGGCCCTACCGCCCGATCCGGCCCGAGCCACAGCAGCCGAGGGACAGCGGGATGGGGAGAGCGAGGAAGAGCACCGGGACCTGGCCTGAGGCATGGGCTGATATCAGACAAAGGCTACGGTTACCTTTCCATAGTCAATGGCTACTCCATCAAACTCACTGGTGGGCAGAGAGTCCCGCTGGATTTTGAGTCGCCGCAGGGACGGGAGACTAAACTTCAAACTCCTACTTTGACCTTGTTAGAAAGAAAAACAAAACACAAGAGAGAAAGGTGTAACCTATCTGCACGTGACGGCTGGAGCGAGACGGGGCAGGGGGAGAGGCTGCGGAGAATTTGGGGTGGCTTTGGGGGATGCACATGCCAGGAGGCCCTTCCTCCTCCAACACACTTGCTATTCCCATGCCATCACACCACCGTGTGCTCAAGGCAGACCCTGACCTGGCAGAAAGCACCACTGAGACAGAGGGCAGTCCCCTACAACCACAGATACAAGACAGGAAAGGTGCAGAGCATCCCTAAGCCAATTAAAGAGGTTAAAGCCACTTAAGGGATTTGGACCTGGAGGAAATCGAGCCCCTAAATCTCCTTGGCGGAACTTCAGGAAAAAGAGATCACACAGTAGAGACTGTAAGTCAGAAAGGCATTAAAACAAGTAGTTCTAGCAATTTTGTTCTTGGAGTTGTTCTGGATTCTCAGTGAGGGATGCTGGACCACACAAGGGGGACCAGGAGACCACCTCGATGGGGACTGGGGCTGGGCAAGGGCAGCCAGGGCTGCAGGAGCTGTGAGAGAGGTTCAGGAGGGGAAGGGCTCAGACGTGGAGAGGGACTGGCAGTGCCCACAGAGGGACACAATGCCCCTGTTTGTGACACCCAATGCAAAGTCACTCCTCTAGTGACACAGAGGAGACCACGGCCTCCTGCTGCTCAGAGTTGGTGTGAGCAGCCAGGCTCACACCCTCAGGGCCTGAGTCAGCCCTGGGGCTCATCTGACCCCCAGCAGCACCCACTGTGCTCACCAACCACACCAAAAGTGGCCAAAATCCCGAGGCACACAGGACGCGACACGAGCTCCACGAACACATTTTCCTCTGGGGAAAAGCAGCACATTGAGGAGCTGTTTGGTTTTGGCAGGATTAGCTTCCCACAGAGCCCCAACACACCACTGAGCTGCTCCGAGCCACCACAGGCTCCCAACCTGCCCACTCCCCAAAAATGCCTCCACTGGTGAGGTACCACGTGGGTTCCCTCTGCTCACCCCATCCCCACTGCCCAGAGCAGCTTTTCAGCTGGAAGAAGCAAAGCATCCAACTTTCCCTGCGCATCAATGAGCCGGGGACCGGCAACGCAGCCGCCTGTGGCCGTGTAATTAAAGACTGAGTCACAAAACCCGTTCTTGAGAGCACAGCCTGGGCTGGAGTCAGCAGCTCTGGCCTTTCCACACTCCCCATCACTGGGGTGGGAAACCCAAGAAACACCCCTTGGGATGTACAGCACAACCTCCAGTGCAGGGAAGAGACAGGTACCCTTTGTTTGGGTGCCTTCTGCCAAAGGTCCCACCCAAAGGGATGGGGTGGGGTATGGATGCATCATATGTTGAGAGGTATTGAGAGGTAAGGGGGCTGCAAAGCAACACTGTTGCTGGAATTTAGGATTTCCTCAGAAGTTCATGCATAGAGGCCAACTGGTACTAAAGCAATCCACCAAAAATATGAATCTCATCACTTCAGAGACATAGGAACACGTGCACGGGTGATCTGTGCAGTCACACGCACATATCCTGCGTGTGTATGTCTGGCCTGAGGACACAGAAACCCACAGAAAACTCCACTGGCACCCACTGCCACGCACACAGACACCTGAATGGCTCTGGGATGTAGAGATGCCCCGAGTGGGAACGCACTGAAGCTCACACCACTGCACCAGCACAACGGGGAGGTGTCCCCATCAATCCCTGACGTGGCCCTGGCTCTGATCCCGGTCCCACTGTGCCTCCCCACAGGCCATGGGGGGACAGACCCAGGTTGGTCCCACAGCTTTACTTTGCCCAAAGCACCCCTATAGCACCCCACATCCCCGGGGAGCGTTGGCATGAAGGTGGATGTGGGATTATTTCCCTGACTCAGAGGTGACGAGCAGCGAGGGCCCGTACGGCAGCAGGAGATTTGGATTCTACAGCTTCTTGTCGCCAGGTCTAACATCTGCATCTGCATCCCCTTGAGAGCCTCACCACGGCGTCCCTTTGATCCAGCCTTCCCAAAAAAGGAATTTGAGTTTTCCACTGCCTCCGAAAGCCTCACGAAAGCCTGGAATGAGCCTGGCACAGCAGGGAACAGCCCAAAGCCGGGGCAGGCTGAGCCATTGTAGCGTGACCATCCTTGTGCCACTTGCCTGCGGTGACATTCCCGGAGCACAGCCGTGCTGGTGGTGACACCGAGTGCCCCCTGGCCCTCTTGGTGACCCTGCACACAGGCCCTGCCCCACACCAGCACCAGCCAGTGCTAAATATGGAAAGGATGCAGCACGGCAGGCGGTTTGCAGAGGGTCTCCACGGCTCCACTTGCAGCAAGACACCCTCTCCTTAAAAATGCACCATCCCATGCAGGGCGTCAGCCCCCAGCCCTGTTCCCAGATCCCCAGTTTTCAGGAGGTGTGTGTGGGCACGTGTGGATACGAGGGGAGCACAGCTGGCCCAAACAGCCTTTTTCCACCCAGTTGGTGCCTGGCCAGACTGGTCCCTGAGCAGGCAGAGCTGACACCGTGCACAAACACAAACCTCTCCTCGTGCATGATCCTGCCCAGCCACGGGTGCATCCTTCAGCCCCCAGAGCTCCCGAGAAAACCACGGGATGGGGATAGCCCTGAGGATGCTGGGCTGCCTCTCCCACACCCCCAGTGTCCCCGGTGACACCCACCTCTGCTCCAGGTCTGCGACAGGCGGTGGTGGAGGCTCCGGCCGCTGCTCTTGGCGACGAGCTGGGCCAGGTCCTCGAAGTTGAGGATGAACATGATGACGACGCCTTCCTCGTTCTTCACCGGCACCACGTCCACCAGGCAGCGGAAACACGAGGCTGCCGAGCAGAGACAGGCTCAGGAGGGGCTGCACGGGGGTTTCTGCCCACCCACCGCCCCAGCACAAAACACTTTTGGCAGAAGAGTGTTTTTTAAGCCCTTCGATGGGTGTAATCCCTGCTGGTGGGGAGTGGAGGATTTGGAAGATGATCTGAGCCCTGGGAAAGGGCCATATCCCTGAAGCATCTCAGCTCACACTGATCACATCTCTTTTTTCTGTTCCAGACAGTCATTTATATTAATGTACTTGTGAGCAGCAATTAAAGAGTGAGTAATTAAGAACTCAGGAAGTCCCAGGTAGTGGTTTAACCTCATTAAGCATCCTGCTTGTAATCATGCCACAGCTAATTGCCCTGCAATCATCAGGCAATTTTTGGGGACTGGATGAAGGCAGTGGGGGTGGGCCTGACCTCATGTCCCATCCCAACCCTGGGCAGCAGGATGGGGTGGGATCAGTGTGATGGTCCCCAAGGACATCCCCTGGTCAGGCACAACCTTGTCTCATTCCTGCTGTGAGGAAACTGAGGCACAGGGGGCACAAGGCTCAGTGTCCTGAGAGCAATGGAGGCTGCAAGGAGGATCCCAAACAGGGCACGAGGCCTTAAGGATTTTCCTATTGGATGCCAGCTCAACTCCATGGCTCTGCTTGCACTGCAGCCAGGCACCAATGTGCAATTAGGGGCGCCTGAAAATACCCACAGGTCTTTCCCAAAGCACAAACGGAGGATACAATGGAGCTCCCACCTCCTTTGCCAGTTTTATTCCCCTAAAATCCCTCAAAACCCCTACCCAAGGGTATAATCACTTGAACTGCCTCCTGTTGCTTTGACAGTGGTGGGAGCAGGACCCGCTGAGCCACAGCCCCTCTGGCAAACGCCCTGAACATTCCCGGGCTCCGATCCCAAACCTCCCAGAGATGATGGAGCACCCAGGTACCGCTCTGGCCGGTTCGGAGCCGAGCCACCTCCTCCCATGGCAGTTTTTGCCCCGTGCAGATCCCTGCCCTGGCCTTTCCCCCTCGAGCCACCTCCTCCCACGGCAGTTTTTGCCCCGTGCAGATCCCTGCCCTGGCCTTTCCCCCTCGCTCTGCTCACCAGGGATTAGCGGCTCGGGCAGGGATGTGCTGCCGGCCCGATCCAGAGCTCTCCCGCTCCGGCCATGGCCACGCTCCAGCCGGGAGGGGGATGTCGGCCTTTGTGCGTATAATTTTAAGGAGCTCAGGGCCTCCCGTAATCAGGAGCAGATGGCCGGCATCGGGCAACTTCAAAATCTGCCGTGACGTCAGGGATGTGCACATCCACGGGCACACGCGCGGGCACAAGAGCGGGCAAGAAACGGATACGGTGAAATCTGTTTAAAGAGCCCGGCGGCCCGGGATTATTCCTTTCTTCCTTTCTTTATTTCGTCCCCACAAGGAGGGGAAATCCACTTAAACGTGTGAGCTGGGCAGGAGGGAGGGGTTTCTGGCAGATAGAGCTGTTTGGAAGGGCCGCCCGGGCTCGCTGTCGGTCACCTGTGTGCGGGGCCACGGCGGGCGGGAAGAAAGGAGCCCTTTTCCCTCCCTTTGTCAGGATTTTTGGGGTTCTGAGGATAAGTGATGTCCTGTAGGTGATGCTGAGTGGGTGAGGAATCCCCTGGGATGTTAAGGTGGCACATGCCCTGCAGGATGAGGTGGTGCCATCCCTGGGATGCTGCAGCTCTGCCTGTGCCAGTGTTGGTGCGTGCAGGGGTGTGCACAGGTGAACCCTCTCACCTGTGCTCACAGGTGAACCCTCTCACCTGTGCTCATGATGCCCTGTGGCACTGGATACTTTCTCCTTTGGTGTGTCAGGAAATGAGGTGTTTTTTTTCCCCACAGGTGGTTTTGAAGCATCGCCAACTTCTTGGAACCCTCGTGGTTCATTGGTGTGGGCAACCATGAGCTCCATGCTTCCCCAGAGCACCAGGAATCCTGATCCAGAAGGCCTGATCCTGACTCAGGTGCTCTGCCCTCCTGCATCCCTTCACTGCTTCACTTTTCCTTCCTAAGCTCCTCCGTGGCAGTGGGAGGGGATGGTGCTGAGCTGTTCTCATGGGGGCTGGATCCTGGCAGGCCCTGTGTGGCGTGGGAAGGGTTAATCCCGTGGCCAATGCTGAACAGCTGAAAACTGGGCCCAGTTACATCCAGTTGGAGGAATAGTAGGAGCAGCTGGGAGGTGGTTGGGGCTGGGTTTGAGAGGCAGCTGGTGCCTGGTTTGATCCTACAAATCTGGGAGGTGCTGAGCCTGAGCAGCCCTGGCCAATGTTGCTGTGAGCCCCTCGCTGATCCCTTATTAAATTAAATAAAATAGACTATTTCTGTTGGAAGGGACCTACAGCGATCATCCAGTCCAACTGCCTGGCCAATTCAGGGCTGAACAAAATTAATTGGGTGTGAGACCCTCCAAAACCAGGGGAGTCACCCCAAAACCAGCCCTGCGTGCCAGGAACTCAGTGTCTTGCTCAGGCCCACATCGAATAGCATGGATGGCATCAAGGGAATGATGGAGCATCAGTGCCAGGGGTGGAAGCAGTGTGTCCTCTTAAGGCTGGCCCAAAGGCAGGGCAGCACCCCAGCATCTGGGGTCTCTGGGCAGCTGTGATTTGGGGTACCCCCAGCTCTGTGGAGAGGCTGCAGCTGGCAGACCCCTGGCACCCTCTGCCCTGACTCGGTTTCCCTGTGGTGAACCAGCCTGGGCTCTGCTGAATGCTGAGCCTCCCCTCCCTTCCTCCCAAAAACCAGGCACCCCAGACCTGCTGCGGCACCGGTGGGCAGAGCCAGCCCTGGGAGGGACCCCAGTCCCGGGAGGGACCCCCGCCCTGGGAGGGACCCCAGTCCCGGGAGGGACCCCCGCCCTGGGAGGGACCCCAGTCCCGGGAGGGACCCCCGCCCTGGGAGGGACCCCAGCCCCGGGAGGGACCCCAGCCCCACACTCCCACCCTCGTTCCTCGATCGACTGTCCCCATCCATCTGCCTGTCTCTTCCCCTCAGCTGTTCAGCTAATCTGTCTCCATCCGTCTAATTTTATCCAGCCGCCAAATGATCTCCTGGAGGAGCCCCGGGGCATTCACAACCTGCCTGTGCTCCGTGGCCACCTCCGGGGGGGGTGTCTGTGCCAGCCGGGGGTGAAACCCAGAGTGGGCGTTGCGGGACGGGCTCGGCACGGGAGATAAGACTTGGGTGGTGGTTTGGAGGGTCCCACAGCCAACGTGGTGGGTCTGCACGGGCTGGGAAAACCACTTCATCCCTTAAACCCCTGGGTTTGATCTTCCCAGCACCCAGCCCACCTCCCCTGAGCCGAGCGAGCGCTCGGAGGTCTGCGCTTCCCGACCCACCGTGTGTCTCCTGACCTTGATAAAAGCGAGCACTTATCATTATAACATTAAAAATGTCATCGTTGGGGGCCCTCCCTCCCCTTTATCCCCCTCAGCCGCCGGTGGTTAATGCCTTTGTCGGTATCATCGGTATTAAACTAATCAACAGGACACGGGGGTTTCCAGGAGCTGGACACAAACCAGTATTGTTATGAATATTAAAAAAGCAGGCTATTAATCTGCCCTCCGAGCTCTTACCGAGGCCTGCCCTGCCCTCCCCCCGGCCGGGAGATTTAATCTGCGGGGTCTCATGGCAGAGTGGCTAAATCTATAGTGGTATTATATAAAGGAGCAGAGGAGAGGGGCCGGGAAGGGCACGGAGGGGATGGGGACAGGGATGGGGGCAGAGCTGTGCTCCGGGGCTGGCTGGCATGCCCAGGGAGATGCTTGGAGGGCCGGGCTGTGCTCCCGTCCTGGGATAAATCAGTGTCAGGGCTGGGGGGAACTTCAAAGGGAAGCGCAGATTGCTGGGAGGCCCTAAAGCAAATCCCTGAGGTGGGATGGAAAATAATGGAGGTGGGGGCTGAGCCGGTGGGAGATGGGTCACTCTTGGGGTCCAGGGTGAGCCCCCACACCTGGGTGTGCACCCCTCTGTGCGGGGAGGGGATGTGCACCACGGGGTCTGCACTGGCCCCTCATCCCACGCCCAGACAGGGCATCGGGAGACTGAAACCCGCTGGGACACCAGAGCAGGGAAAATGACCTTATTAAGTAACGTCAGGGGGGTGGAGGTTCCCTGTGTGCGGCGAGGAAGGGCAGGGATTCCTGCACTGACAGGACTTGCTGGCTGGAAGCAGCACTGGAGGAGGAAAACCAGGAGTGTCAGGGGGGTGAGGGTACCCACCAACAGCCACGGGAAGGATCCAGGCCCAGCCAGGTGGTTTGGGTGCAGGTGGAAGGATGCTCTGATCCCCAGGAGACAAAAGGGGTCCTGGATCAATACAGGGGTTTGACAAAATGCAGCTTAACCCCCTCTACAAGCCAAGTGAGTGGCCACATCCAGGCCCTCAGTCCTTCCCCTACTAAATCCCTGCTGGCTGCAGGAATTAGTCCAGCTTAGAGCAGGGCTCTGTGGCCAGAGCTGCAGCACTGACAGCATTTCCTGGGGCTGTCCAGCCATCCCAAGGGTCCTCTCTCTACAGGACATGGGACACCTCCCACTGGGGATACAATAGTTGGTGAGGATGACGATGGAGTGCTTGGGATGAGAACTGGGGGCTCTGCCAGGGCAAGGATTTCAGGAAAAAGCCTCCTGGGCAGCATCCCTGGGGGAGCTGGGGATGCTCTGGACCTGCCCCTCCATTCATGGGACATCAGGTTCAAGCAAAAAGCATCTGAGGAGCAGCAGAGGATGGAAAATGTGTCTCTTCCAGCTTGTGCTCTAGTCACACTGTCCCCAGGGCAAAGGAGTGGGATTATTGCCCCAGGGCAACAAGAGTGGCTGGAGCTGCAGCACAGCCATGCTGAGGATGGAGGAATTGGCTCCTCAGAGCAGGATCTCCAGGACCAGTGTTTGCCATTGTGAGGCGGGATGTTTACAAGTCCCCATCTGGATTTGGGCCATGGTGTCTGTCCCTTTTTGAGGTCACAGCCTGACCCTTAAAGGAACACAAAGCAAACAGCCCCAGCTTGGTGTAAACTGCAGGGGTTTGCACAAGCCGAGAGCTCAAGTTGGGGTTGGGGTTTGTCAGCTGGCTGTGCTTCCCTGCTCCTCCACCACCCAGGAATTCCCATCTGTCCTGCCTTGTCCACCCCGTGGTGCAGCAGCAGAGGCTCCCTAGGGATGCCAGCACCAAATCCTACCCCTGACAGTGCCAGGATCCAGCAGCTGCTGGTGGGATTTGTCCTCCTGCTCCCAGTGCATCCACTGGGTACGTCACACGTTGCTGTTTACAGAGCTGGACAGAGGAACCCTGGCTGGATCCATCCCCCCTGCCTCAGCCAGGCTTCCTGGAGAGGTGATTGCTGTGCCATGGATGTGCCCTGGGCTGGGAACACGTCACATGAGTCCCCCGTCCTCTCTGGGTGCAGTGACACCCCCCAATCCATGCCTGCCCGGCTGCCTGCTTGGAATCCCCATGGGGAGCTGTGGAGGGACATGCTGGGTGACAGGGGGGACCCCAGTCACTCTGCAGCCTCTCTGCTCCTGGAGCCCCTGGGGAGAAATCCCGGGTTATGCACCAGTGTAACGAGTTTGCCAGCCTGATCCCAGCCCCTCATCCCCATTCCCAGAGGCCTGATACAAACTGCTCCTGCTGGAGGGGACAAGCAGTGGGCTCTGCCCGGGAGGGGACAGGATGGAGGGGCTGGGGCTGCCCCACCAGCTGCTCTGGCTGTCTCAGCCACATCTCCCCTTTCATATTCATCAGCATCACATTCATGCAGATTAACTGGAGCGGGTGCCACCAGCTGCTGCTGCTCAGGCCATGCCAGCACCGTGGTGCCCAGGACCTGTGGCCACTGGCACCGCTCTGGGGACCCTGGGAGCTCTTGCCAGTGGCTTTACCCCAAAGCACGTCCCCCCTGGGTGGAAAAACCCCAGCCCTGGGTGCAGCTCGGCTCCACCAGCCCTTCAGCATCACCTCCAGGGGATGCTGGAGGGGTTTCAGCTCCCCCTGGCCTCAGGGGCAGCGTGTCCCCAGGGTTGGCAGCTGTGGCTGCTCCTCATCGTGGCGGGAGCTGATCCCGTGCTGACCCCCCTGTCTGGGGCAGCCCCAGCTGTGGAGCATCTTGTAAGGAAATTAACTTTCCACTGATCTCTCAGCTTTGAGCTGGGGATTAGAGCCCACACGCACTGCAGACAGGCTCTCCCCTTTTTCCAAGGCCTTTTTGGGGCTGCTGTGGCAGGGAGGGACAGCTGCCCTGGCTGGGCTGGGCCCACCTTCCCTAACTGGTACTTGGTTCTTGGCTCCATTTCGTCTACCCGGAGCTGGGCTTGCTGCTGGCACCCCTGGATCTTTTGGTTCTGTTTATAATTAGCTGACAACAGCACGGGCATCCAGATGGGGCCCGGGCAGCCAGGCTGTCCCCGGGGACACACATCACCCCATCACTCAGCATCCTCCTGTCCATGGGCAGACCCACCTGCCCGGGCACCCCCTTCCCACCTCCCTCCATCCATCCATCCATCCATCCCTCCATCCATCCACCCATTCCACCCCGGCCCTGCGGCGGGGGGCTCCGAAGGGCAGCTCTGGGACACAGTTTCGCCTCTGTCAACCAGAAAAGCGAGGAAACAACCCCGGGAGCCGCAGAGCCGGGAGTACTGCAGTAATAAACAGCAGGTCGAGGCTGGAGATTGGTGCTGCCGGTATGAAAAGGAGGACAGGCGGGTTCGGAGCCTCCGCCGGCTAATTAAGCAGCAGCTCCTATAATGCAAAGGCCTTTTCTTTGCCGATAAGACCCATTTATAATGGGCTGAGCGGTTGCAGGCTGAGTGCTGGGGGGAAACAATTGGAAAGCATATTGCTGGTGGGGCCGGGTTTTAAAAATAGACATGAAGGGTTTGCTTCTGGGCTTTTTCCCCCCCCACACACTCTTTTTTAATAAAAAAGAGAAGAAAGCAGCTCGGAGCTCCAATGAGAGTTCCCCATGGCCTAGAGGAAGAGCAGGGCTCCGAGGACAGCACCGAGCATCCCGTGAGCCCAGCAGGAATGCTTCAAAGCGGGGAGGATGCTGATGGATCAGGCTCGCAGCCAAGTAGTCCCCGGGGATGGATGGGGAAACTATCCCGAGGGAGGGAGGGGAACAGGGCTGCACACGCTGTCCTTGCCACGGCCACGCGCTGGCGCTGGGGTGGGAGCAGGGGGACAGCGTGTGCCTCTCCTCTGTGTGCCTCCCGGGCCGTGCTGGGCTCCAGCCAGGCCCTGAAACCGCAGCGGCCGAGGGGGAACTCGCACCCAGCCCTGGCACCACTCCCGGCCCCGCTCCGCCCAGGAATGGCCCTGCAGGAAGAGCCTCGACCGAGCGGCCTCATCCTGACACCGCGCAGGGTCCGGCCCTGCCGGGATAACACGCAGGGGTGCTGCCAGCGGACAACTCTGGGATTGATACACTGGCACCTGGATGCCAGCCCGGGAGATAGGGTCTGGGAGGGAGGCCAGGACACACGGGTCCCAGCCCTCAAGATAGGGTGCTGGGCTGGGAGCCAGGGCTCCTGCCTGCTCCTTCCCCTTGCTTCCAGTTGGTTCTCCTCTGGGAGCTGCCGGCAGGGCGGTGCAGCCCCGTGCTCAGGGCCAACCCCCCATCAATACGATCTGGAGCGACGGGGAAGCTCCACAGGTTAAAAAAAAAAAGGAAACACTTCATATTTTTAACCTCCCGTGAGCTCCCGACCTGCGTTCCCCCGCCCCTGGGAGCCCTGGCCACTGCTGTTTTGCAGCATCGAGCACTAAATATTTATTTAACTTCCTGCCGTATTAGAACTAATCACTCGTATTTTCCATCAAAGCTTCATTTTCATCTTAACGTAATTCCATCTGTGCACGCACAGCCGCATCCTGCTCGCTGGAAAGGCAGTTCCCAGGCCGTCGGCCGCACTGGCTCTCAGCAGAGATGGGAGTTCTGCCTCATCTCATCTTGGAGCACAGACTGGGAAACCCATGTCCCTGCCTGGCTCCTCCATGGGCTTCCCACGGGATCCTCATTCGTGATCCAGGGAACCCTCGAGCAATGCCATTTCTTGCCCCGGGAGCTCTGAGCCACCACCAAGGGCTTGAAAACAGCCTGACTCCCAAATAACCTGGCAATGTCATCCATCACTCAAGGTCCCAATGCCCACAGTGCTCCATCACGGCAGAGATGGCTCCATCCCACCATGGATTCGCCCTCAGCAAAGCCCTGAGTCTGAGTGCAATCCCGGTAGCACCAGACCCCATTTGCCTCCCACCACCGGCTTCCGACAGCCCGAAATCCAGGGCAGGCGACACCTCCCACCGCCGGATCACCCCGAAGAGCGACTCTTACTGTCTTTGCGGTAGTAGAGGATCTCGAGCTTGCACTCCTCGGAGCCGAGCAGGGCCTGGGTGAGCTGGGCGATGGAGCTCTTGGTGGTGTCGGGGCCGGTGAGGAAGTCGCAGGTGCAGGGGCGCTGCATCACCTCCACGCGGGAGTACCCGAACATCTCGCAGAAGCCGTCGTTGCAGTAGATGATGGCACAGTTCTCCATCTGGGCGTTGGCGATGAGGAACTTGCGGTCTGCGGGGAGGCAGGAGAGCACGAGGCTTAGGGGGGGTTGGTGGGGACCCACAGGGACTGGGGGCAGCCTGGGAGGATGGGGGGGGGTGTGTGCTTGGGATTTTTGATGCCACCCACCGTGGGGCCTGTGCAGGGCCAGGCTCCCCAGGGACACCGGTGACAGGTCTGGGGGGAGGATGGCTGACGTCATCCCACACCACCCCGGGTGCTGCTCAGCTCTTGAGAGAGAGAAAATGTCCCCAGTTTCATGTGAGTTGGTGACTGTGGGGACAGGGGGGCCCATGGGGGGGTTTCCCAGTAGAACAGTTTTTGCTGGCATTGGCCAATCCATGCAGCCTTGACATCTCACCACTTGCATGTGGGGACTCTCTGCTGTCTAAAACATGGGCAATCTGTCCCTGACCAGCGCTGCAGCCTCGATCCCTTCCCAGGAGCTTATCAGGGACCTGAGTTATCTCAGAGACTTTCCACCCTTGCTCAGATTTGACTGAAGTCAGGCAAGGGGCAAGAGGAGGAGTGAGTGTGAGGCTTGGCTCATGGGAAGCTGGGTGAGACCCATCACTAATAATTCTCCCAATGTGAAATCCAGACCCTGCTGGTCTGCATGGCCCCTGTGCTCAAAAAGAAAAGGGTTCAGGTGGATAAGAGGGGAAACTGAGGCAGGGAGTGGTGCTGCCCCATCCCCTCCTGGTGCTGCAGCCACCTGGGCTGGGCTGGGGCCGGACTCGCTGTCGTGCCAGGGTGTGTGGCAGTGCTGCACAGACCACGTCATCCAGCCCATATGGAGCCACTTCCATCCTTATCCTGCGGGAGACCCAGCCTAGAGCTGTGATTTGGTTGGATTTTGGGGCTTTTTTTCCAAGGATACCGAGGGGTGCTGGGCTGGGAAGGACCCTCTCTGGGACAGGTTTGCTGGGGTGACAGAGGCTGTGGATGCTGATCTGATGGATGCTGATCTGATGGATGCCGTGCCCCCTCCCAGCAGCATCTCCCTCAATGTTTGGCATCAACTCTGGGCTGGAGCCAGAGGCAGGTCAGAGCAGAGGGTCCATTTGGAGGCTGCCTCCCAGTCCAGACCCCAATTAATCTCCTGGATTACCCAGGAATGGCATCTGCAGCCTGCATGCTCCAGAGCCCTGCTACGCTCCAGCCTCACTGGGAATTTCACCCAAATGCAGGAGAAACCTCTGCACAGCTTTGGCACCCAGAGCTGGGACACAGTGGGGTGGGAGGACCCCTCTCAGGCACATCAGGGCTCTCCCTGATGTCACCTACAGAGTTGCAGCTCCGGAGGACACCTCCCAGTAAAACTGGTGTCCCCAGGGATGCTGCACAGGTCTCCTGCTTCATCTCACCCTGTGACAGCTCTTGGTCACCCTTTGTGTGGGGTTCCCACTCCAGCACCTTTCCCTTTCCCACACAGGGCTGACGCCGGCGCCGACGCTGCAAACAGCACAAACCACCACAGACAAATGTTTCCCAATTCCCTCTTCCCGATCCTTCTCTATCCAAATTGCTTTGCCAGCTGGAAGGTGGCACAAGGAGGGGACCTTCCCCCAAAGCCCCACTCCTGGGGCATGCTCCCCACCTGTGAGGAACAGTTCCCCATCCAGTGTCAGCCCCATGGACCGGATCCAGGCTGGATCCAGGCTGGGCTGGCGCAGGACAGGATTTACGGGGCTGGCAGGGCGCCGGAGCAAGCTGAGCTCAGCTCAGGGATGTGACCAAGGCCGGGATGGGAAGGAGCTGCAGAGCCAGGTCTCCTTGGGGGTATTTTCACCCCCACTTTGCTCTCTGCCCTGCCCTCCCCTGAAGATTTGCCCTTGGTCCTACAGGGGCTGTGCTTCCCTGACAAGGAAGCGCTGGGCCTCTCCAGCTCCCCTGGGGACTCACCAGGTACCGCTGCACCCGTGGGAGCTGCAGCGGAGGGGGTGAGGGCACCCACAAGCAGGGAAGGACCCTCTGCCTGTGGCAGTGTCGGGTGTGCTGGTTTGGTGTCTCCCAGCACCTGTCACAGCACGAAACTGCCGCGGGGGAGCGTGGGGTGATGTTTCGGCAGAACCCAGCCGGTGCCCGACATGGCTGGCAGGGAGCGGGCGGGGAGCGGGCAGGGATGAGGGGCCCTGGCTCCATCCCCACTGGCACACCTCGCTGCGTGCCCCCGCTGCTCCCCAGCCGCCGCTTCCCAGGGGGAACTGATAGGAACCAGGGACAGTTTTTCTCACTTTCCATCCCCAGGGTCACGTCAGTCACAGCTGGGGCAGGCAGCGCAGATCCGGCAGGGATGGCAGCGCCAGGGATATTTGCCCACCCGGGAAACTCAGACACGGGAGAAAACCCACAGCGAGCCGAGGCAGTGGGGGGTGCACAGCCCCAGCACCCCACGGCAGCTCCCCGAGCTCAGCTTCTGGGGGGACTCCAGTCCCCCGCTCCCCTCCCCTCATCCCCAGCAGTGTGGGGGGGACCGTCGGGGTGCCCAGACAGCTCTGCCGCCGGGCAGAGCCCCCGCGGACCCTCCCAGGCGCACACAAACCCCAGCGCTCCCCGATGTGCACGGGCTCTTCGCCGTATCTGACACGAAAGCCAGCCCAAAAATTCATATAAAGGGATTACTCGGAGCAACAGCAAATGGCAACATTTCACCAGGGACGGCGGCCGCCGAGAGCGCGGAGTTGAAGGCAAACAGGCAGCGAGCCCGGCTGCGCTCGGGTACACCCTGTCCCCCAGCCCGGCCGGCCGGGACCCCCTCCCCGCCACCCCGGGACCCCCTCCCAGCCCGGGGGCTGCGGGGGTCGCGGTGTCCCCAGCTCCCGAGGGAACACCGGCGCCGGGATCGCTCGTCCCCCTGCGTCGCGCTGTCTATAAATACCCGCGGGGACACTGCCGGGTGTCGCGCACCCCTCTCCCCGCTCTGGGAGGTCACAGGGGCCCCTCCGTGCCCCCGGGGACACCCTCCCGCCTTCCTCCCCGTGTCTCCCCGCTGCGCTCCGAAGTTGGGGGGCCGCCCCGGCCGCCGGGGGGGCGGGGGGGAAGCGGAGCGGGACCGGGGGGGGGGGGGGGGTGTGCGGTACTCACTTTGTCCTTCAAATTTGCGGATGATGGTGTCCAGGTAGGTGTTTTGGGGGGCCACATGGCCCCGGCGCACCGGCATCGCTCCGCTGCGCTCTGCGCGCTCCCGGGAGCGGCGGAACTTGCCGCGGGCGCGGCGGGGAGCGCGGCCCGGCCCCGGGGCGGCTCGGCACGGCCCGGCACGGCGCGGCCCCGCTCCGCCTCACCCCAGGGCTGGCCGAGCTCTGGAGCCCAGCCGGCCCGGGGCTCCCATGCTCCCGGTGGCCGGAAGGGGGAACCCCTCCGCCCGCCCTGCCGCGCCCGGCCCCGGGCGGGGGCGGCCGGGGAGGATGAGGATGGGAGGGGGAAGCGGGGGGGAAGAAGGGGGAGGACCTGCCGGAGAGGGGGAGAAAATAATAGAATAAAATAATAAGAGTAGAAATCCCCCAAAGTGCTTAGTCACCGCTGCCCCGGCCCCGCCGGAGGCTCCGGGGGCAGCCCTCAGCAGCAACAGCTGCCGGCCGGGGGGCGCGCACCCCCCGGGGCTCCCCGGGGCTCCCCCGGGCCCCCCGGCGTCCCCCGGCACCGGCACCGGCACCCGCCCGGCCCCGCCCGGCCCCGGGGGCGGGGGTGCTCCGGGGCGGGGCGGGGGAGCAGGTGGGTGCTGGGGGTGCTGGAAGTGGGGGTCCTTGGGGGGGTGGGATGGGGGAGATGGAGGTTCTGGAGGACTGGGGTGGGGGGTGATGGGAGTGGAGGAAGCTTTGGGGTAGTGGGACAGGGGGGTGATGGGGAGGTGGAGGGAGAGTCCTTGGC